GAATACGCTGCGTGTTGAGTGTGTGTGTTTGAGTGCGGCTTTGAGTGTCTTATTGCCTAAATATAAACAAATAAACAGATTAATCGACCAAGAGCAAACAAAAGCCGCAAATTATCACTGAGCTAGAAAGGCTTTGTAAACAATACCGACCTGGAATACACAAAAGCCTCAGTAAACAGTCAACAAATTATCATCACCAACACACACACACTATATATATGTATGAGCTAATGTGGCTTTGTATGTATAACCCACTGTATGTATCAGTGTCACTGTGGCCATGTATACACCCTAAGTATCCATGTATGTATCACTGTGTCCATGTATACACCCTCAGTTATTTCCCGTCAAATAAAAATAAAGAGATTATTTTTTCCCCTCACCTCCCCGATCCCTGCCCTCCCCTCCCTCCTCCCTGTCTCCCCCCTCCCCTCCCCTGCTCCTCCCCTCCCCTGTCTCCCTGCCTCTCTCACACCATTTACCTCCCTCCCTCCTCCCCTTGTCTTCCTTCAAATTCCTACCCTCTGTCTGTTTTCTCCTCTTCCTCCCTCCGCTCTCCCTCTCACCCCTCTCCCTCTCTACCTCTACCTCTCCCTCTCACCCCTCTCCCTCTCCCTTACTCGTTTATGGAACCTCCGCTGGGATGTCGTAGTTCACAATAATCAACTCCATTTATATACGTGTTGAGTCATGGATGAGTCGCTTAATTACGGTTTTATGGTTTCACATGTCGAAGAAAATATAGAACTCACGATTGTTGAAGGATGTTGAAGCCGGGTTGTGTTTTATGGTGTTTTTTTTACTTCAGTTGGTGTTTTTATGGTGTTTTTGTTTTGTTTTTTTTACCTCAAGAGGGTAAGATACGGTTCATGGTCGGTCAAGATGGAGGAGAACGTAAGAACAGTTAAAGGGGAAAAAATATATCTTATTTTCATTTCAGTAACATGTACGTGTGTGTGTGTGTGTGTGTGTGTGTGTGTGTGTGTGTGTTGGGTAAAGTTAGGTTAGATTAGGTTGGGTTAGGTAAAGTTAGGTTAGGTTAGATAAAGTTTGGTTAGGTTAAGTTAGGTAATATTATGTTAGGTTATGTTATGTTAGGTTAGGTTAAGGTAGGTTAGCTTGGATTAGATTAAGTTAGGTTAGGGTTTGATTAGGTTAAGTTTAGTTTAGGTTAGGTTAAATTATCTGGCCATCGGTAATACTGCTTTAAGCGGTCATATTGTACAGGTTGTGGTGCGCGAGGAATTCCCAAGTTTGGTAATACGATAAAATTCTTCCCTCAGGGCTCAGATAGATGGACAGAAAAATAGACATATAGATAGATAGATAGATAGATAGACAGATAGATAGATAGATAGATAGATAGATAGATAGATAGATAGATAGAGAAACAGACAGATATAGTAGTTGTAGGGTTATATATAGATAGGTCTCCTCCTCCTCCGTGTACAGTACAGGTGTGTGTATTAACTCACCTGTGCTTCGCCAACACCTTCTCACTCTCTTTGCATCTTTGGTACAGGTGACGAAACGCGATAAATTAGGTTCCGTTCTTATATTACCTTGCTATCATCATCTTCATCATTATCATCGTTTTGTTCCATCGCTATCATCATAATCATCATCATTATCATCATCATCATTATCATCATCATCATCATCAGCAGCAGCAGCAGGAGGATTTTTCTCAATCATCATCATCATCATTTTTTCCATCATCATCATCATTTTTCTCTACGTTCATCATCATCATCATTTCTCTCCATCATCATCATCATCATCATTTTTCTCTACGTTGTTCATCATCATCATCATCATCATCATTGTTCCAGATCTTCCAGTACCATAACATTAAGTTCTAGATCTTCCAGCACCATATATCTAATCTTCCATGACCATAACACTAACTTCCCATATCTTCCAGAAACATAACTCTAACCTTCCAGTACTTTAACTCTTAAGTTTCCAGATCTGTCGGTACAATAAGTTTCCAGGTCTTCTATTACACTCCAGCTCAGTTTCCATAGCCTCCAATGTACTCAAGCTTAGTTTCTAGGTCCTAAAGCTTAAATCTGACCCATCACACGTCTCTCTTCCCATGTTAACTATCAACCAGGATTACACTTACATAGATCAAATTCAACCACACTGCCCTCACCTTGGGACACACACACACACACACACACACACACACACACACACACACACACACACACACACACACACACACCTGAAGGGCATTGTTTGTCCCAAGTCATCGAATAACATCAAAGGGTTGAAAAACACAATATAACTTGCGACATTGTTTTTATATTGCAAGTTTGTTTTTTCTCTTACGTAATGTCAGTAAACCGAGAGTGTCATTCCTATCTTTAAAAAAAACACCACGTGAAGATTAGCCCCCCCTAGCTTATGTCACCTGATGATTAAACACCCTCATGTTACCTGGGGGGGTTAGGTTAGGTTAGGTTTAGTTAGGTTTAAGGTTAGTTTAGGTTAGGTGTTAGGTTAGGTGTAAAGTTAGGTTAGGTTAGGACAGATTAGTTTAGCGCTAGGGTAAATTTATCTTCGGGGGGATAATCTTCACGTGACCCCAAAAAGTGGTATCCATGAGCTCACTCAATTAGCTCCCATGACTCTCACAAACAGACGAACACCTGAGGATATTTGAGAACACCTAACAAGATCTGATGACACCTGAGAATACTGGCGGACACAGGGTAATTGAACATACCTGACAACACCTGAGAACACTTTGACAACTCCTGAGTATACGTGACAACAACTGGGAACACTTGAGAGCACTTGACAACACCTGAGGATAACCTGACAACACCTAGGAACACCTGAGACAGACGTAAACATGGTGTATAGTAGAAATATCCAGGAGACTTATCCAGAAAATCCTTTTCTATTCCTCCACATTCCCAAAAGTCTCTAAAAGTTGTACCATTACATTAAGAAGCCATTCTAAGGTCTGAGTGTTGGCGACCACAGCCCACCACTCAATTAGTTAACAATTTACCAATCCTCCTACATTTTCTTTCTCTCCGTGGATCATAGTTTTTTGTCTACTCATCCAATCCGGTCTCTACCTTCCCCTGGCCATCTTACCTTCAACATGAACCAATAGCATCTCTCAACCCACAGTCTCTACCTTCCCCTGACCCAAGAATTTTCCCCAGATTTCCCCTGGCATATAGTAAAAAAAAAAAAAAAATCACAGAAAATCCCCAGCAAGTGCCAGAAATACCCAGACAATCGCCATAATACTCACGAAGTGGGAGAACATCCTGGAGAAGATGTTCTTGCAGGGGTCTGGGTAACAGTGGGTGCCGAACTCGGTGAAGACGGGCCTCTGGGCGAGGCACGCCTTCTTGTACGCATCCGACCGTAGGTATTTTGACCGGAACGTGACCTGGAGGAACGGCAGGGGGGGTGAAGGAAGGATAAGTATTGATCAGAATTCATGTCGGGTTGATGTCTTGCAAACTTGGTTATATAAGACGTATTATTTATATCTTGCACACCTGTTTTTGTCTTTTGTAACTTTTATTCCTAGAAAACTTGTCTTGTTTTTTCTTTATTGGAAAAACAGTTGTTTATGTCTTTTGTTTACCTCTATAATTGGGAAAAACATCTTGTTTTTGTCGATAATGGACAAAAACATATCTTATAAACAGAACTTACTCTCGTGTGGTGGTGAGTAAGAGCGAGTGTGTGGTGGTGAGTAAGAGCGAGTGTGTGGTAGAGCAATAAGTTACAGTGTGTTGTAAGGTGATATTTTTAACCTTGGTAAAAACTAGTAGTCGACTGTTGTGGTTTTATTAACAGGTACATAAATACAGATCTAATTTACTCACTTTAAAACCTCTGTTAACAACATGAACAACCATTAGACTAACTTACTATGTTATGAGTTCATTTTATTCTACGTGTTTATATTACTCTATAGTAATATGTTATGTGGATGTGTTTTAAATTACAGGTGATTAAATGATGGAGAATTAGAGTATTAAAATATGAGGATAATTACCGGTGTATGTGAGAGTAATTTACCTGAAGTATTTAATGAACGTGAAAGGTAAAGTAAATGTTTTTAATCACACACACACAAACAAACAAACAAACAAACAAACAAACAAACAAACACACACACACACACACACACACACACACACACACACACACACACACACACACACACACACACACACACACAATACTGGTCATTTGGGTTGGGAATCACATGACTAGTGAGAGAAGCGCTGCCTCACTCCTCACCATGTGCTGATGCAAGACAAGGATGTGAGATGCCGGAGGGGTGAGGGGAGGGGGTGAGGGGAGGGGGGTGAGGGACAGTCATTTCTTCCTCCATCACGCCACCCCCTCGTACCACCTATGACGTGTTAGTTACCACTGCCGCCACACTCACCTGGTCACCTCTATCACACTCACCTGGCCATCTCTACCACACTCACCTGGCCATCTCTACCACACTCACCTGGCCACCACTACCACACTCACCTGGCCATCTCTACCACACTCACCTGGCCACCACTACCACACTCACCTGGCTACTTTAACACATTCACCTGGCTACTCTGCCACACACCACCTGGCCATTCTACCACATCACCTGGCCACCACTACACACACTCACTTTGCCATCTCTACCACACTCACTTGGCCACCATTACCACACTCATCTGGCCACAACACTCACCTGGCCACAACACCCACCTGGCCATCGCAATACCACACTCATCTGGCCACAACACTCACCTGGTGCAACAACCACCTGGCCCAGCAGCCATCTGGCCACAACACTCACCTGTTCACAACACACCTGGCCACAAAACTTACCTGGCCACCATCAATATGGTACTTGTGCATAATGGCCATGCCGTCCATCCAGTGGTTGAGAGTAAAGTCTCCGAAGTCGAACTTGCCAGGTCCCACCCGTAGGAAACTACCACGAAGCCAAGCTGGCCACTCCCCTGTAACACAAGATGGAGGAGGTGAGGGAGGGTGTACCTGGAGGTGAGGGAGGGTGTACCTGGAGGGAGGAGGTGAGGGAGGGTGTACCTGGGGGTGAGGGAGGGTGCACCTGGGGGGAGGAGGAGGAGGTGAGGGAGGGTGTACCTGGAGGTGAGGGAGGGTGTACCTGGAGGGAGGAGGTGAGGGAGGGTGTACCTGGGGGTGAGGGAGGGTGCACCTGGGGGGAGGAGGAGGAGGTGAGGGAGGGAGTGTATGAAGGGCAGATGTGGAAAAACAGAAAAGAAGAATAAATGGTAAAAGTAACCGTAGATAGATAAAGATATAAACAAAATAATTATGTAGATATATTTTATATACATGTAAATACACAACGAAACCTCATTTAGGCACGTGTCCCTCTACCATGACGTCATCAACACTATAGAGAATAATGTCACTGGTTGTCATGATCATTATAAGGTGTGTATCGGCTGAGTCATTCCTTATAGTAAGTTCAACGAGCGAATTAAAAACGAAAATAAATAGTTTGTCCTCAGTGTAAGTTGTAAATGTAAAGATCTTGTTTTGTATTTATTTGTAAACACGGAAGCAACTGGATTCTCAGAGGTTCGTGGGTTAAATTTTATCATAAAGATCGCAACTAATTTAAGCTGCGGTATCAAGATGGATTCATAAGGGTTCCTATGTTAAATTTTCATATAAATGCAAATGTGACTATCTAATTGTACCACGGCTCAAAGATGGTTTCTCAAAGGTTCCTACGTTAAATTTAATCCTTACTAGTAATTAATATCGAGACAGAACTTACTGACTTGACTGACTGACCTAACACTAGTTCAGAGTCAAATTTTCACTTATCTGACTCCTTGGCATAAAGTTCCACCAAGTGAACTTTTAATGTGAGTTTTTTTTTCCAGAAAAAGTCAGTCTCTCTCTCTCTCTCTCCATTATACCTTTTGGGGTGAGGAGAGTGTGACCTAACGAAGCTCCTCTATCCCCTCACCCCCTACCCGTCACCCCCTACCCCTCACCCCCTACCCTTCACCCCTACCCGTCACCCCCTACCCGTCACCTCACCCGTCACCCCTACCCCTCACCCCCTACCCTTCACCCCCTACCCCTGACAAAAACTAGTCCACCAGACCACTCTCGTTCCGAAGACTGTTCCTGCTGTACTTATTCTTTGTTTCTAGGTAACTGAACATAGTATAACATAATAGTGTAATTAACATAACATAACCTAACCTAACCTAACCTGCCGGAAATTAGCCATAACTTCTATCGAATCTAATTTAACCTCTAAATTAACTACAGTAAACTTGAACTAATCTAACCTAACCATGACCTAAACAACCCTAACTGCAGGTAATATCATAACTAACCTAACTTAATCATACTTAGGCAACTTTAACTGCATGAACCACGTGTTAATGTACTGTATACAAATAAACTATGACGTCACGCCATTAGAACCAGTCAGGATGTGTTCAAACCAGACTCTGTTGCTTTGGTAGAGTGAGACAATGGTTTACAACAGCACATCCCTTGGGGTCACGTCATCAGTGGACATCCCAGTTTATATTACCTGCGAAGTAAACACCTTAATTGTTAACCTACCCTAACATAACATAGCCGAATCTAATATAACGTAATTTAATCTTATCTAACATTCCCCAGTGTAAACTAAGAGGTAACGACCTAACCTAACCCCACCTATCATAACCTAACCTAACCTAACCTAACCTAACCTAACTTAACCTAACCCCCCCTCCACTCCTAGGTAGCGTTAAGGTGTTTAGTCATCAGGTGAAATAAGTTTAAGGGACTAATGTTCAATTGATTCCACCTGTCTACTACCCAGCTAACAGACACCTGCAGCTCTACACAGGTAAGAGACGGGATAGGAGGGACGTGGATGGGTTGGTAACAGTGTGTAGGACTGCCTCGCTCTGACCTCATTTGACCTCTGAGGCAGATTCCTCCTACTGCCAGGGAAGGCGGACTGGCCTGGTGAGGTTTAATAGTTGTTTTCCTTTTATTCTACGAGCTAAGTGATCTCTCTCTCTCTCTCTCTCTCTCTCTCTCTCTCTCTCTCTCTCTCTCTCCACGTTACATATTTACGAGCCTATCTCCTCTATATTATACCCCACTAACCAATCGTAATGCACGGTACGGTATTTCCTGCCTTAACTAATACATACGATAATGAGTCTAAATAAGTTTGAGAATCCACCCTTGTGTCGTACCTTAACGTGAATCAGTTACATGACTTTCAAAATCTCGAGTCATTGTGTTAATGTGAACCAACTCACACTCTGAGAATCCCTGTTGCTCTTCTTATTGGTTTAAGACGTAAATGTCAACCACTGCCCCCACGAGTTACGACACTAGATGACCCTTGAGATACTAAGGTAATAACAAATAAGATTGGGGTCTCATGTAGATTAGCCCTCCAGATTATTTGACATTAAGATTAAACACAGTTACCTAACCTAACCAAACCTAACCTAACCTAACCAAACCAAACCAAACCTAACCAAACCTAACCTAACCAAACCTAACCTAACCAAACCTAACCAAACCAAACCAAACCTAACCAAACCAAACCTAACCTAACCTAACCAAACCAACCTAACCTAACCAAACCAACCAACCAAAACCAAACCAACCAAACCAAACCTAACCAAACCTAACCTAACCAACCTAACCAAACCAAACCAAACCTAACCAAACCAAACCTAACCTAACTCTAACTAAAACCTAACCTAACCAAACCTAACCTAACCTAACCAAACCTAACTAAACCTAACCAAACCTAACCTAACCAAACCAAACCTAACCAAAACCCTAACCAAACCTAACCTAACCTAACCAAACCTAACCAAACCAAACCTAACCTAACCTAACCTAACCAAACCTAACCTAACTCAACTCAACCAATCAACTAAACCTAACCAAACTTAACTCAACTAAACCAAACTCAACTAAACCTGACCTAACCAAACCTAACCCAACCAAAACCTAACCAAACCAAACTCAACCTAACCTAACCAAACCAAACCAAAACCAACCAAACCTAACCTAACCAAACCTAACTCAACCAAACCAACCCAACTAACCAAACCTAACCTAACCAAACCTAACCAAACCTAACCTAACCAAACCAAACCTGAACCTAACCTAACCAAACCTAACCTAACCAAACCCAACCTAACCAAACCAAACCTAAACCAAACTAAACCTTAACTTAACCCAACCAAACCTAACCAAACCTAACCTAATCAAACCTAACCAAACCTAAACTAAACCAATCAACCTAACCAAACCTAACCTAACCTAACCCAACCAAACCTAACTAAACCAACCAAACCAAACCTAACCAAACCTAACCTAACTAAACCTAACCTAACCAAACCTAACCTAACCAAACCAAACCTAACCAAACCAACCAAAACCAACCTTAACCAAACCTAACTCAACCTAACCTAACCTAACCTAACCAAACCTAACCAAACCAAACCTAACCAAACCTAACCTAACCAAACCTAACCAAACCTAACCTAACCAAACCAAACCTAACCAAACCTAACCAAACCTAACCTAACCTAACCTAACCAAACCTAACCAAACCAAACCTAACCTAACCTAACCTAAACTAATCTAACTTAACCTTCAGATACAGTAGCATTTAGGTGTTGAATCGTCAGGTTAAAATAAGCTAATGAGGGTTTATTAACCTTCTCATAATCCTAATATGGTACTCATTATGTCATAGTCTAGTTGTAATGGCTGACGAATATAGAGTAAACACCAGATTCCTGACAACAGATGGCGCCACCCTTCATAAATAATGAATACGTTCAATTATACGCCATATTGTGTATACGACCCTGATATACCTTCATATGTATCACTCAAAACAACTTCAATTTATATGTGTTACGTTAAAAAGATATTCATTTATTAAATTACATGAAGACTTAAATTAGTTTTATTGTGTCTTGTTTGTGTAATCCTGAATAAGCATCAAAATAACCTATAATTGTGATTTAGTTATATTTTTTCTCTTCTATGTAACACTGAATTAGTCTAGTTCTTTTATCACTGAGGAAAAAATAAATACACACTAAATTTTGAACGGCATTTACTCTTAACTATATAACCTTGAAATGCTTTATGCGTCTCAGATCCCAGTCTTGCAACGTAACTGTCTTTGTGTGTGTGTGGGGGGTGTGTGTGGGGGGGGGGTGAGGGGTGAGGGTGGGGGTCAACAGAAAAACTAATTGAATTTGTAGGGTATAACACCTCATTTACGTAACCCGGAGTTAGTTTGACTTTCAAGGTCTTTTTTTTTTACGCGATTCTCAGTTACTTTTTCATTTACTCTACAACCCTGAGTTAACTGTTCATTTACACAACCCTGAATTAATTTGGCAGTGCTACCTTTTTTCATTTACACAACCCTGAATTAATTTGGCAGTATTAATTTCTCATTTACACAACCCTTACTTAACTTTTCATTTACACAACCCTGAATTAATGTAACGAAGTAAATTTTCTCATTTACACAACCTTCAAGTATTCCCAACAGGATAACTGTAAAAAATATACTGAAGGTAACGTGTGTCATTTCTTTCCTATAATCTAAAAATAAACTCAATCATCACCTGCTGTTGTTGGCGAATAATATAAACGATGTCATGTGAGTGTTTCTGTTTGTTGGTCAAGAGAACAAAAAATCCCTGTGTATATTTTACGTCCATGGAACCCTGATGTAACGAGTCAGAGCTGTGTGTGTGTGTGTGTTCATGACCTTGCTGATGGATGTGGTACGTGTTAGAGCTTTGTCATGATGTGTTCTTATTTTTAGTTCAAGTGCGCATGTGTATAGTGAGGTAGGATCTTATACAACGCATGTGTAGTGTGGTAGAATATCATACAACGCATGTGTAGTGTGGTAGATTATCATACAACGCATGTGTAGTGTAAGAATCTCCTA